TTTTTTGACATTTCGATATTTCAGTTTTTGGATTTTACAACTTTTCCATATCGATTTTTGAAATGTTGGACTTTTCTATTTTAACAAATTCTCAATTCCCCAATTTTTCCATTTATAGATTTCACGATTTTCGATTTTTGAGATCTCGATTTTTTGTCTTTTATGCATTTCGATTTTTCGTTATTTCAATTTCTCGATTTTCTGATTTTTTGAATTCTCAATTTTTCGACTTTTCGATAATTGGATTTTCAGTTTTTGGTGTTTTGGATTTTTCAGTTTTGAAATATTTCAGTTTTCCGATTTTTTGACTTTTATTTTGAATTTTTCGATTCTTCAATTTGTCGACTTTTCGAGTTTTCAATTTCCAGATTTTTTGACTTTTCGATATTTCGATTTTCTATTATTTCAATTTCTCGATTTTTCGATATCTGGGAATTTGATATTTCGACTTTTCGATTTTACGACATTTTGATTTTTGATTTCTCGATTGAGTTTACGGTATTTCGATTTTTCGCAATTTCAATTTTTCGAATTCTCGATTTTTCAACATATCGAACTTTGCATTTTTCGACCTAATTTAATTTTAATTTTAAAATGTTTTCGATTTTTCCATATTCAAATTACATATTTCAATTTTTCGACTTTCGAGATCTCGATTTTATAATATTTCGACTTCGATTTTTCAATTTCTCGATTCTTTGATTTTTTCATTTCTCAATTTTAGGACTTTTCGATTTTTGATTTCACGATTTTTTGACATTTCGATATTTCAGTTTTTGGATTTTACGACTTTTCCATATCGATTTTTGAAATGTTGGACTTTTCTATTTTAACAAATTCTCAATTCCCCAATTTTTCCATTTATAGATTTTTACGATTTTCGATTTTTGAGATCTCGATTTTTTGACTTTAATGCATTTCGATTTTTCGTTATTTCAATTTCTCGATTTTCTGATTTTTTGAATTCTCAATTTTTCGACTTTTCGATAATTGGATTTTCAGTTTTTGGTGTTTTGGATTTTTCAGTTTTGAAATATTTCTAATAAAATATTTATTTTTTGACTTTTATTTTGAATTTTTCGATTCTTCAATTTGTCGACTTTCGAGTTTTCAATTTCCAGATTTTTTGACTTTTCGATATTTCGATTTTCTAATATTTCAATTTCTCGATTTTTCGATATCTGGGAATTTGATATTTCGACTTTTCAATTTTACGACATTTTGATTTTTGATTTCTGGATTGACTTTCGGTATTTCGATTTTTCGCAATTTCAATTTTTCGAATTCTCAATTTTTCAACTTATCAAATTTTGGATTTTTCGACCTAATTTATTTTAATTTTAAAGTGTTTTCGATTTTTCCATATTCAAATCAAATTACATATTTTTCCTTTTTAAATTTTACAAGCCCTTGATTTCCGTTTTTTTATCCCGAGTTTTCAATGTTAATTTTCTCGATTTTATATGACAATTTTTCGTTTTTCAGTTATTTTTTTTTTCGATTTTAAATTTTTCCTATATTCAATTCTTCAAATTTTCAATGTACGATTTTTCAATTCTTCGACTAATTTTTCAATTTTGTAATTTTTGGATTTCTCAATTACCCTATTTTTTGATTTCCTTAATTTCCAGTCCTGCGATTTTATACTATTTCTATTTTGATTTTTGAATATTTTGTTTTTCAATTTTTCAAGTGCTTGAACCGATTTTTTAATTTTCATTTTTTCGAGTTTATATCACAATTTTTCATTTTTCAGTTTATTTTCTCTATTTAAAATTTTTTGTTTGTTCAATTCTTCAAATTTTACATCTACGATGTACAATTTCCATCAATTCCTCGAGTTAATTTATTTATTCGATTTTCCAATTTTGTAATTTTTGGATTTCTAAATTATGCTATTTTCTGATTTCCTTCTTGAGATGTTTCAAAATTTTCATTTTAAGCTTTTTCGTTTTTTTATTTTCGATTTTTCAATTTTTCGTTTCTTCGACAATTCCAAAAGTTCGATAATTACATAGAAAAGTCTAAAGAACTTAAAAATTCTACAAACTGTAAATACTTCATAAAGCCGAAAATTACAAAATTTCTAATACCTAATTCCAAAATTATAACATCTTAAAACTTGCAAAAATCTATTCCAAGTAGAAATTCGAGTTCATGGACCCCAAAATAGTAAAAATGCTTGAAGTTCTAAAAAATTCTCAATAATCCTATGAAATTCAAATCATCCAAGACTTTAAACCAAATTCTAAAATTCTCAAAATCTGGAAGTTCCAAAAATGTCAAAAATTCAGACAATTCCAAAATTCAATACCAAAAAATTCTAAAAGCTTTAAAGAGTACAAATTCCTGAAATGTCATAATGCCACAAATTACAATAAAGTTCATATTTTTCAAAAATCCAGACTTCCACAATTCCAAAAATTGTCAAAATGACAACAATTTTTCAAGTTTTTCTAATTTTTGATTTTTCAATTCAACGATTTCGCAATTTTCCCATTTCTTTGATTCAAAAATTAAAAAAAACCGAAAAATTGGAAGTCCCAAAAATTATAAAATCGAAAAATCATAGAATCGTCAAAATTGTTAAGCCGAAAAACAGTAACATTGAAAAAATAATGAAAATAAAAAACCAAATCGAAAAATCTCAAATCCAAAAACTGAAGATATGAAAAATTTAAAACTGAAAACTCGTGAAATTGCAAATCAAAAAATTGCAAAAGCTAAGAAATGAAACAGCCAAAAGTTGGAAAAGCGAAAATTTAAATAAATGGAAGATTAGAATTCGAAAACTAAAAAATGAAAAATTGGAGAAATTTTAATGGGAAAAATGCAAAATCTAAAAATTGAAGAAGCAAGAAAAATGAAAAATTACAAAAACAAATTTTAGAACTGAAAAATTGGAAAAATTAAAAATGAAAACAAAAAATTATAAAATCGAAACATTGAAAAATCAAATAATTGAAAATTCGAGAAACTGCAAAAAATTGCAAAAAACTGAAAACGGTTTTTACTGTTATTATAACAAACTAACTCAAAAAATTTTTCGATTTTCCAACTTCTGGATGCTTCAATTTTAAAATTAATTTTTTTCGATTTTTCCATATTCAAATCAAATTACATATTTAAATTTTTCGACTTTCGAGATCTCGATTTTATAATATTTTGACTTCGATTTTTTAATTTCTCAATTTTACAACTTTTCGATTCTTGATTTCTCGATTTTTTGACATTTCGATATTTCAATTTTTGAATTTTTCGATTTTGGTGTTTTTGATTTTTCAGTTTTCAAATAGTATTTCGATTTTTGAGATCTCGATTTTTTGACTTTTCGATTGTTGGATTTTTCGATCTTTTGATTTTAAGGTGTTTTAGATTTTTGGATTTTCAAATATTTCAATTTTTTACTTTTCGATGTTGATTTTGGGATATTTCGACTTCGATTTTTCAATTTCTCGATTTTTGGTGTTTTCTATTTTCGATTTTCCAATTTTCGGCTTTTCGATATCTCGACTTTTCGACTTTTCTGTTATCCTATGATCATAGAGTTATAGTCAAAGAAATTTAAAGTGACCGACCTAAATTTTAAACCCATCATACAACTGTCAAAACTATTTAGAAATAAAAGGCAAATATGTATGATAAAAATAGTGGATTTTATGATAATTTTATAGCTGCTTCAAAAGTTACATCTGCCACTTTAAATTTTCTCGACTATACGCAAGGTTTTTAAAATTGCATGTTTTCTCGGCGTTTTCATTTGTTCCTGCCGTCTATGTCGATATTTATTAAGCAGAAAATCTCAGAAAATACTGGCATGATTGTTGTGGATTTTTATACATATTTTAGGAATATCGTGTACATGACAAAACGCTAACCAAATAATATTTGTTGCCGTCTTTTTTTAGCCTTTTCAAAATTATGCATAGTAACTGCTGTTTAAATTTTATAAAATAATATACTCCTCTACTTGTGGTTTATGAATCCGCCTTGATTTTTTACCTTAGGCAGCCAGATTTCTGAAAAAACTAGATTTATTTGATTATGACATTAGACGTGGAAGAAATATTTTCCATTTCAGGCCTAAACTCTGCAGATTTTTGATGATCAAACAAATTTTGGGTAGCATTTTACACGATAATTCTAAAGTTTACCTAAAATTTAAGAGTGTTCTGCTTAGTAATTCCACTAAAAACCACAACATTTTCGCATTCTAAAAGCCACGAATCATCAAAATCCGAAATTAGTCACTTAGATCTTCTTTTTATAACGAGTAAAACAAATTTGGTAAACGCCGCCTCCGATCCGCCACTTTTCCACGCCGCTGCCCCGCGCCGCATCCTTGCCCAGACCCATACTCAATCATCTCCCATTGTTGGCACCAGCGTAGCAGAAACATTTCCATTGCCGCCATGACCCATCGCTTTTCTTCCCAGCGCCTGCTTCCGTCCCCGCGCCGCCCCTCGCCGCGGGTAAAAACGCACGAGCACCGATGAGAATCCAGGTATAAAAGAAAACCGTTGAAAACTCGCAGCGACCGTTAACCCACCGAAGTAACGCAATACGAGCTCGTACCCAGCCAGGAACAGACAACAAAAGGACTAAAATCGATAGAAAGAAAAATAAAAGTAAGCCTGCTCGGACGGGAGATAAGGCGAAGGCGAGGGACACGGAGAAAGAGGGCAAGGTTTTGGCGTAAAAAGAGCAGACAAAAAAGGAATGTTGTGCGAATGGAGATAATTTGATTCGGTGCGTGAACTTCTTGTGCTAAATTTACGAAAGTGTCAAATTTTAACGTGGCTTTCTGGTGACGATTTGGCATTTGGTGGCCGAAATCGATCGAAAGAAAATAAAAATAGCTCGGCGTGGAAGGAGACGAGGCGGGAGACGAGGGCGGTTTTGGGTTTTGATGTAAAAAGAAACAAAGAATGCGCGCTGATTGGAAATAAAAGTCTTCTCTGATTCGTTTTGCGGTTTCTGCTAGGCTTTTTTCGTTTCAGAAATTATGTCTGGCCAACACTACTGCCTGCGATGGAACAATTACCAGAGTAACATGACTTCCGTTTTCCACCAGCTGTTGCAGAACGAGGCCTTCGTAGATGTCACGTTAGCGTGTAACGACTTGTCGCTAAAAGCCCACAAGGTGAGTAGAGAGCAAGAGTTGTCTGGGCGACTGTAGGGCTGCTTGGGGAGCGGGAATTCGATGCGTGTTTCCCTTGACGAACTGAAAAACATTCGTCTGGTGCTGGGTTTGTTCGTGGTCTTAAAAATAATACCGAGAATTGGTTCCCGGAAAAACGATCCAAAGTGAAAATTTGGCACAACGCTGAGTTTTCAGTTCTCCGTAATCGGTTTCAAACGGTACTAATTTGCTGCGTCTTTTGCAATTACCTAGTTGAAAGCTACCAGAGCGTGCAATGTTTTGGTTGCCACTTCCTAATCTAATTTTATTTTTGTCCAGAGAATGTTATTTTTATTTATGTTTATTATTAAAGCGGTATCATCCGCAAAACATAGGAATCTGCCAAAAAATAAGTGCGTTATCTGAGTCTCTGAAAATTATCCAACCGCAACAAGATTATCCTTTAATTACCAATTAGCCGGAGTTGATAACGTCTCCGCCACTGGCCCCAACCACAACGCTATTATTAAAGAGCGGATTTATATGCACAAATATTGTCAAAATATGCGCAAAATTTGTTCGATATTGGCACAATTTTTTTTGTTTTTCCAAATTTTCCTTTGTAAAATTCTGTCTTGGATCTGTCAATAACATTTTTTAATTAGGTATTTCTACAATAAAATCTAGTGATTCGCCACTTAAAATTAAACTGATGTTTTCTAGGAGCTCCTAACCAGTATTTTTATTAATTACCTCTTTCTTGTTGTTAAATTTTGTATGTGTATTAGGGGTATCATAAATTTACAATAATAATTTTTCTTAATTTTATAAAATATGATACTCCTGTATGAATCCATGTTGAGTTTTCCTCCTAGACATCCAAATTTTTGAGAAAAAAATCAAAATTGTGTAACATTATGCAATATAACGCTAAAACTACAAAATCGAATGCTTTGAAATCCTGACAAACTAACATAGTCTTGAACTTGTGGTTTATGAATCCGAGTTGAACTTTTGTCCTCGACATCGAGATTTTCGGAAAAATGTTTTTCGGTTCGATTTCTCGATTTTTGGTATTTCAATTTTGAGGTTTTCAGTTTTTTTATTCTTCAACTTTTCGATTGTTCAATTTCTCGATTTTTTGATTTTTCCATGTTTCAGTTTTACGCGTTGTTTTACGATTTTTCAATTTTGCGACTGTTCAATTTTTTTATTTAAAAATTTTTCGATTTCTCAATTTCTCGATTATTCAGTTTTTTAGATTTCCCATTTCTGGATGTTTCGGGTTTTTGATTTTTCTATTTCGCGATTTTTTTTTTATTTTTATAATTTTAGATTTTTCAATTTTTAGATTTTTTGATGTTTCGTTTTATCGACATTTCGATGTTTAAATTTTTTATTGTTAAATTTCTGGAATTTTCCTTTTTTGATACGCAATTTTTCAATTTTTAACATTTCGATTTTCCGGTTTTGGCGTATTTTGACTCTTCAATTGTTCAGTTTTTAAATTTTTGGATTTTTCCATCTTTCAATTACTGACTCCTAATTTTTCATTTTTTTTAATTTTTAACTTTTCAATTTTCGACTTTGGGGTGTTTGGATTTTTCAATTTTTCGACTGTTCGATTTCTGATCTTTTGATGCTTCCATTTCTCGGCTTTTCGATTTTCTCACTTTTCAGTGTTTCGAATTTTTCAATTTTTGGATCTTGAGAGTTCAGATTTTTGAATTTTTGAATTGTTCGATTTATCGACATTTGGATTTTTCCATTTTTTTTATTTTCAATTTATCATTTTTTAGTTTTTCGATTTCGGTTTTTTATGTTTTTCCCAGTTCTCGATTTTTCAATTTTTGATTTTGTAGATTTTTGATTTATCAATTTTTCGATTTTTCGACCACGATTTTTGGATTTTTCAATGTTTCAGTTTTTAAATTCTTCAATTTTTCTTCAATTTGCAATTTTTCGATACTTCAGTTTTGGGATTTTTCAATATTTCGATTCTTCAATTTTTTCGATGTTTTGATGTTTGGATTTCTGGATTTTTCAATTTTCTGATATTCAGATTTCTCAGTTTTTATTACTTTAGGTTTTTTGATTTCTCAAATTTTCAATTTTTCCATTCATCGATGTTTTTATTTTTCAACATTTCGAATTTCGTAATTTCCAATTTTTTAGTTTTTTGATGTTCCGATTTCCCTATTTCTCGTTTTTTCCACTTATGTGTTTTAGATTTTCCAGTTTTTCGATTTTTAGAATGTTTGATTTTTCGATTTTCCAATTTTTGGGTTTTCCAGTTTTTCCATTTCTCGATTTATCGAGATTTCGAAGTTTCAATTTTTAACTTTTTAATTTTTCAACGTTGGCATATTTGGATTTCTCAATTTTTGGATTTTTCGGATTGTCTTCTTTTGATGCCTCAATTTCTTGGTTTTTTGATTTTTTGACTATTCGATTTTCCCATTATGCAGTGTTTCCAAGTTTTCGATTTTGAAAGTTCAAATTTTGAATTTTTCAGTTTTTCGATTTCTTGATGTTTCGATTTTTTTTAAATGTTCAATTTCTGAATTTTCCACTTTTTTTAATTTTAAAATTTTCATCTCTTAGTTTTTCAATTTCTCGATTTTGTAATTTCTGATTTCGCAGGTTTTTGATTTATCGATTTTTCGATTTCGATTTTAGGACTTTTCGATTACACAATTTTTGAATTTATCGATTTTTTTCTTTTTCAATTTTGCGTTTTTTAAATTTTAAATTTGTGAGTTTTGCTTTTCGATTTCGCTATATTTAAATTTTTCAGTTCTCGCAATTTCGTAATTTCTGTTTTTTTTTTGTTTTTTAATGTTTCAATTTCTTCATTTCTCTTTTTTTTCATTTCTATTTCAGTTTATTGATTTTTAAAATTTTTGATTTTTCGATTTTTAAAATTTTTGGGTTTTCCAGTTTTTCCATTTCTCGATTTATCGAGATTTCGATATTTCAATTCTTTGTTTGTTTAATTTCTGGATTTTTCATTTTTTTTATTATAATTTTTCAATATTTAACTTTTCGATTTTTCGACTTTATGGCCTATTTGGATTTCTCAGTTTTTCGATTTCGATTTCTCATCTTTTGATGCTTAGATTTCTCGATTTTTCGATTTTTCGGCTTTTCGATTTTCCCATTTTTCGGTGTTTTTTAAATGTTAGATTTTCGATTTCTCGTTTTTTTATTTTTCGATTTTCCATTTTTGGATTTTGAAAGTTCAGATTTGAATTTTTCAATTTTTCGATTTCTTGATGTTTCGATTTTTTTGTTCAATGTCTGATTTTTCCATTTTTTTTTTAATTTCTCATTTTTTAGTTTTTCGATTTTCCGGGTTTGGCGTATTTAGACTCTTCAATTTCTCGATTAATCGATTTTTTGATTTTCCCAATTCTCGATTTTTCAGGTTTTTGATTAATCAATTTTTCGACTTCGATTTTTGGACTTTTCGATTTCACAATTTTTTCAGTTTTTGAATTTTTCTATTTTTCTTCAATTTTGCAATTTTTCGATACTTTAGTTTTGGAATTTTTCAATGTTTCAATTCTTCAATTTCTCATTTTTTTTCTTTTTCAATATATCGGTTTTTAAACTTTAGATTTGTCAGTATTTCGTCTTTTTATGTTTCAATTTCACAATTTTTCAAGTTTTCGGTATTTAAATTTGTCAGTTTTTAAAATTTTAGTTTTTTTTTATTTCTCAATTTTTCAATTCTTCGGTGTTTCTATTTTTCAACTTTTCGAATGTCGTAATTTCCAATTTTCTAGTTTTTTGATGTTCCGATTTCTCTATTTCTCGTTTTTTTCCACCTTTCTGTTTTAGATTTTTCCGTTCATCGATTTTTAAAATTTTTAATTTTTCGATTTTTTAGTTTTTGGATTTTCCAGTTTTTCCATTTCTCGATTTATCGATATTTCAATGTTTCAACTTTTTGTTTGTTTAATTTGTGGATTTTTCATTTTTTTTTTTTTTACTATAACTTTTTAATTTTTCGACATTGGCGTAATTCGATTTCTCAATTTTTGGATTTTTCGATTTCTTATATTTTGATGCTTCGATTTCTCAATTTTTCGATTTTGAAAGTTTAGATTTTTGAGTTGTTGAATTTTTCTATTTCTTGATGTTCACATTTCTCGGTTTATCGACATTTGGATGTTTAGATTTGTTTTAATGTTCATTTCTGGCTTTTTCCATTTTTTTTATTTTTAATTTTTTAAATATTCGATTTTTCGACTTTTCGATTTCATAATCGAATATTTAAAAAACCGAAAAATTTATGAATTTATGAAAAACCTGAACAATCAAAAATCGAAAAATTGAGAAATCCAAAAATCAAAGATTTAAAAAATTGAAAAATTAATAATTTTGGGAAAATCAAGAGTCGAAAAATTTGAAACCCGAAAAATAAAAAAATAAAAACTCGAGAAATTGAAAAGTTGAAAATCGACAAATTGAAGAATCGAAGTATTGTAAAATTCCACAAGAAGTACCGAAAAATTCCAAAATGGAATAAAAATTGAAGAACCGAAAAATTGAAAAATGCCAAAACTGAATTATTAAAAAATATATATATAAAAAAATGGAAATTCGTGGAATCGAAAACTCAAAAATGAAAAACTGATACATAAATAAAAAATCCAGTATTCGAGAAATTGAGAAATCGAAAAATTGAAGACTCGAAATACTTATTATTTAAAAAAAATTAAAACAATGGAAATAACGTCAAAAAATCAAGAAATTAAAAATCAAAATAAAAATCGATAAATGGAAAAAGTGGAGAATCCAGAATTTGAAAAATCGAAGCCGAACAATCCAAAAGTCGAAATATGGAAAAGTTGAAAAATCCGAAAATCAAAAATCAAGAAATTGAAAAATCGGAAAGTCGAAAAACTGAAAAATGGAAACACTGAAAACTGGGGAAATCGAAAAGCCGAAAAATCGAAAAACCGTGTAATCGAAGCATCAAAAGACAAAAAAAAACAAAATTTGGAAGATCCAAAAATTGAAAAATGCCAAAACTAAATTATTAAAAATTGAAAAATCGAATATATAAAAAAATAGAAATTCGTGGAATCGAAAACTCAAAAATGAAAAACTGATAAATAAAAAATCCAGTAATCGAGAAATTGAGAAATCGAAAAATTGAAGACTCGAAATACTTATTATTTAAAAAAAATTAAAACAATGGAAATAACGTCAAAAAATCAAGAAATTAAAAATCAAAATAAAAATCGATAAATGGAAAAAGTGGAGAATCCAGAATTTGAAAAATCGAAGCCGAACAATCCAAAAGTCGAAATATGGAAAAGTTGAAAAATGCGAAAATCAAAAATCAAGAAATTGGAAAATCGGAAAGTCGAAAAACTGAAAAATGGAAACACTGAAAACTGGGGATCTCGAAAAACCGTGTAATCGAAACATCAAAAGAGAAAAAAAAAACAGAATTTGGAAGATCCAAAAATTGAAAAATGCCAAAACTAAATTATTAAAAATTGAAAAATCGAATATATAAAAAAAATTGAAATTCGTGGAATCGAAAACTCAAAAATGAAAAACTGATAAATAAAAAATCCAGTAATCGAGAAATTGAGAAATCGAAAAATTGAAGACTCGAAATACTTATTATTTAAAAAAAATTAAAACAATGGAAATAACGTCAAAAAATCAAGAAATTAAAAATCAAAATAAAAATCGATAAATGGAAAAAGTGGAGAATCCAGAATTTGAAAAATCGAAGCCGAACAATCCAAAAGTCGAAATATGGAAAAGTTGAAAAATCCGAAAATCAAAAATCAAGAAATTGGAAAATCGGAAAGTCGAAAAACTGAAAAATGGAAACACTGAAAACTGGGGATCTCGAAAAACCGTGTAATCGAAACATCAAAAGAGAAAAAAAAAACAGAATTTGGAAGATCCAAAAATTGAAAAATGCCAAAACTAAATTATTAAAAATTGAAAAATCGAATATATAAAAAAATAGAAATTCGTGGAATCGAAAACTCAAAAATGAAAAACTGATAAATAAAAAATCCAGTAATCGAGAAATTGAGAAATCGAAAAATTGAAGACTCGAAATACTTATTATTTAAAAAAAATTAAAACAATGGAAATAACGTCAAAAAATCAAGAAATTAAAAATCAAAATAAAAATCGATAAATGGAAAAAGTGGAGAATCCAGAATTTGAAAAATCGAAGCCGAACAATCCAAAAGTCGAAATATGGAAAAGTTGAAAAATGCGAAAATCAAAAATCAAGAAATTGGAAAATCGGAAAGTCGAAAAACTGAAAAATGGAAACACTGAAAACTGGGGATCTCGAAAAACCGTGTAATCGAAACATCAAAAGAGAAAAAAAAAACAGAATTCGGAAGATCCAAAAATTGAAAAATGCCAAAACTAAATTATTAAAAATTGAAAAATCGAATATATAAAAAAAATTGAAATTCGTGGAATCGAAAACTCAAAAATGAAAAACTGATAAATAAAAAATCCAGTAATCGAGAAATTGAGAAATCGAAAAATTGAAGACTCGAAATACTTATTATTTAAAAAAAATTAAAACAATGGAAATAACGTCAAAAAACCAAGAAATAAAAAATTAAAATAAAAATCGATAAATGGAAAAAGTGGAGAATCCAGAATTTGAAAAATCGAAGCCGAACAATCCAAAAGTCGAAATATGGAAAAGTTGAAAAATCCGAAAATCAATAATCAAGAAATTGAAAAATCGGAAAGTCGAAAAACTGAAAAATGGAAACACTGAAAACTGGGGAAATCGAAAACCCGAAAAATCGAAAAACCGTGTAATCGAAGCATCAAAAGAGAAAAAAAAAACAGAATTTGGAAGATCCAAAAATTGAAAAATCGAAAAATCATGAATTTTAAAACTCGAAAAACTGAAAAATCTAAAACATAAAAGTCGAAAAATCTGGAGAGAAATCTGAACATCAAAAAACTAAAAAAGTGAAAATTAAAAACTTGAAGAATTTGAAAGTAGAAATATCAACGAACTAAAACATTGAAAAATCGGGAAATCGAAAAACCTAAAATTTTAAAAAGTTGAAAAATGAAAATATCGAAAAATTGAACAAGAAAAGAATTGAGAAATTGAAGAATCGAAATATTGAGAAATCCCAAAACTCAAACATTGGTTTTTGATTTATCGATTTTTCAATATTTCGATTCTTCATTTCTCGATTCTGAACTTTAAATTTCTCGATTATTTTTCTTTTCATCTTTCATTTTTTTTTTTTTTTTTTTGGTTTTTTAAGTTTAGATTTCTCGGTTTTTTCAGTTTTTGATGTTTCGTTTTCTCGATTCTTGAATTTTTCGGTATCGGAATTTGGCAATTTTTAAATCTTAGATTTTCGGATTTATCGATTTTTGAGTTTTTCTATATTTCTATTTGTCAATTTTTCGATTTGTTAAATTTTTGATTTTTAAATTTTTCCGTTGTAAAATTTTTCAATTTTTCAGATTTTCTCATACTTAAATCTGTGTTGTAACAGTCAGAACTTGCGATGTTACCAAAAAATATATATATTTTTTTTCATTCAAAACTGAAGCACGTTAAAACAGTTGTATTAAAAAATATACAATATAAATTTTAAAAAATCACTTCCGGTTCTCCTAAAGTTGTTTTCACTTTGGGGTTTTTTCACAATTTACTGCCACCTTCCTAAATGTCTAGTTACGAATGGATTAGAAATATTTAAAATATTTTATCAGGTTTGAAATACTGTATGCTCAGTCGACATGTACTTAGTTAAGTAATAACTTTGTATTTATGAGTAATTTAGGAAAAGAGGTAGTTTCGATTTTTTGCCACTAACAAAGTAAAACATACACAAATATAGATAATTTAGATATATATTTTCTGAAGCATTTATTTGTCCGCTCTGTACTCATCATTATGAAGCGCAATACATACATTTTTTTCTTTGCTTAAATTACTTCACTAAATATTTTCTGGCCATACCCAAACGACCCCATAAGTCGTTGCCAATCCACGAAAACCGCATGTGACCCAGGCCCGCCTCGCCAGATGCCTTAACTAAACAAACCCAACCCTGGAATTTTTTCAACATCCTCTCTTCCTTCCAGGTGGTTCTATCGGCATGCTCGTCCTACTTCCAGAAACTGCTCCTCGAGAACCCCTGCAAGCACCCCACCATCATCATGCCGCAAGACGTCTGCTACGCCGACCTGAAATTCATCATAGAATTCGTCTACAAAGGAGAAATCGACGTTTCCCAGACCGAACTGCAGGTAAAAATTCCGAAAAGCGCTAGACTTTTTCCTCAGAGAAGGCGAATCGCGCTGGGTTCACGTAAAGAAATCGCCATTGTTTATTCTTCTTTTGTGTAATAGTAGAAAGGAGGTACGTGTCCGCTTTGCACAATGGGAATCGAAGAGGATCGCACTTGCCATTGTTTTCGGCGGCGGTTTTTTCTTGGGGGTCGATCGAGAGGGGTATCGATTTAGCGGCATATACAGGGCACTGTAACGAAGGGCGCCATCTGGCGGAGGGGTGTGGAAGGTGCGGTATTGATCGGGGATGTAGACTTGTGCGACAAGTAGGAAACTGTTTCCGGAAAAAGTTGATTCCGTTTTCGTCTACCTAGTCGTATTGATTTGGTGAACGACAAAGATATAAAAGTCAAGGCGGATTCATAAACCGCAAGTACACCAATATCGAAATAAAATTTCGTTGTGATTATATTTTCACGCCTCGATCTGCAGAATTATCAAAAACCAACCTTGAAACCGTGACTCCGTTTTAATAACCATCACGATGATTCTTAATAAGGCGCAGAATGCGCAATCCAATTCAAATAAAAATACAGAAAAAATTACTGCCGCATTGTTTTTCCATTGTTGACTCGGATAAGCAGTAGATTCAATTTTCCGCGACAATTGATTGTTTTTGTTTCGAGAAAATTAAAAACAATGCATGTAGTAGTAGGCAGGAGGCTCACTCGCTGTGACAATGGCTGATTGTCCTTTTATTAAAATGTCTTAAACTGGAATATCAAACGGGCCAAATTTCAGCCTACGCCTATAGAAATTTATTCATTTTTATGTGTGCGTTTCATAATTGAAACCGTTTTATCTTAGTCACAGATTCGGCAAAAAACTGCGTCAATATGTGAGGTTTCGAAAGTATTTGCACGTTCACCGAATTCCGTGAAAGTGCACGCCGAAATCGCGCCATGTGCACGCGGTGGACTCATTTTTCGCGATTACTTTTTTGTGGAAAGACATAAATTATTGGCGAGTTGAGGTTTTTGAAAATGTTGAAATTAAAGAGGACGTGGGATATGCGGTTTTTTAGACGTTTTTACGTGGTCTACTGTGTTCGTAAAATTATTTTTGGGTATTTTTAGGTTATGTCGGAAGTTATAACGGCCTCCCAATTTATGTAAAAAGTAGTTACATCGGTTGTAGTCAAGTCACCCTTGGAAAAGATTTAGCATGTCGTTGGTTAAACTTGACCCCACGTAGAGTATTGTAAGCAAAGATTTTCTATGAGTGGGAGTGAAATAAACTTATAGCAAATTCGCTTAAAGCAGACAGAGACAAATAATTCCCATAATGAGCAACGTGGTCAGTGACCACGTCGCACCGAAAATCAAGAATTTTGAAAATACTAAAAAAAATCATTTTCTAACCGAATTTTTCGAAAATCCTTTTCCGGGATCATCAACACATTGTGTTTTTCGAATCAGCTCGTTGAAATGTATTTCCCAGATTTTTTTGAGGATTTTTAACTAACCTTTCGAAAATCAAAATTTTTCAAAATGAATTTTTTAAGCTTATTTGGAGCACTTTTAAAAAATTACGTAAAACATTTTCTTGTATATTTCGACTTACAGAAGTCATTTTCGGCTCCATTTCTCGGAAAGTTAAAACAATTTTTCCAGGGTCGAAAAAATGGAAAATGAGGATTTTTAAAAATTTTAAAAACTTTCATTTTCAAACCGAATTTTTCGAAAATCTTGGTTTTCTACCATCAACACGTTATATATTTTTAATTAGTTCGTCGAAATATATTTCGAAAATTTTTTGACAATTTTTTTAAATTTTTTGAAAATTTAAATTTTTCCAAATAAATTTTTTTGTTGTATTTGGAGCACCTTTCAAATATAACGCAAATACATTTTCTTGTATATTTCTACTTACAGACGTCATTTTGGGCGCCATTTCTCGGAAAATTCTAACAATTTTTTCAGAATCGATAAAATGGAGAATGAAAATTTTCAAGATACATATTTAAAAAATTCCTTGTCAAATCGAATTTTTCGAAATTCTTGGTCTTTTGCCATCAACACGTTATATTTTTCGAATTAGTTCGTCGAAATATACCTGCTAGAATTTTTTGAGAATTTTTAGTCAACTTTTCAAAAATCTCAATTGGAATTTTTTGACCGTTTTTTGAGCACCTTTCGAAAATGATCTAAAGACATTATTTTGTGTATTTGGATTTGTAGAAGTGATTTTCGGCTTCATTGCTTCGAAAATTTCAACAATTTTTGCAGAATCGATAAAATGGAAAATGGGGATTTACAACATTCCTTAAAAAATTCATTTTCAAACCGAATTTTTCAAAAATCTTGGTTTTCTACCATCAACACGTTATATTTTTTTAATTAATTCGTCGAAATATATTTCCCAAAATTTATTGACGATTTTTTACAACTTTTTGAAAATTTAAATTTTTCAAAATAATTTTTTTTGTCGTATTTAGAGCACCTTTCAAAAATACCGCAAATACATTTTCTTGTATGTTTCTACTTACAGGCGTCATTTTGGGCTCCATTTCTCAGAAAATTCTAACAATTTTTATAGAATCGATAAAATGGAGAATGAAGATTTTCAAGTTACATACATATTTAAAAGATTCATTTTCAAACCGAATTTTTCGAAAATCTTGATCTTCTACGATCAAGACGTTGTATTTTCGAATTAGTTCGTCGAAATATACTTGCTATAATTTTTTGAGAATTTTTAGTCAACTTTTCAAAAATCTCAATTGGAGTTTTTTGACCATTTTTTGAGCACCTTTCGAAAATTATCTAAAGATATTGTTTCTGTACTTCGATTTCTAAAAGTGATTTTCGGGTTCATTGTTTCGAAAGTTTCAACAGTTTTTCCAGAATCGATAAAATGGAAAATGAAGATTTTCAAAATATTTTTAAAAACCCACTTTCAAACCGTATTTTTCGAAAATCTTAGTTTGCTACCATCAACACGTTATATTTTTTGGATTAGTTCGTCGAAATGTAGTTGGCAGAATTGTTTGAAAATTTTTAGTCAACTTTTCAAAAATCCCAATTTTTCGATTCGTTGGAGTTTTTTGACCGTTTTTTGAGCACTTTTCGAAAATTATCTAGACATTGTTTTCTGTATTTCGAATTGTCGAAGTGATTTTCGGCTTCATTACTTCGAAAATTTCAACAGTTTTTCCAGCATCGAAAACATAGAAAATGAGGATTTTCAAAATATTTAAAAACACTCATTTTCAAACCGAATTTTTCGAAAATCTTGATTTTCTATCTAAAACATTATATTTTTTAAATTAGTTCGTCGAAATGTATTTGCCAGAATTTTTTGAGAAGTTTTTGTCAATTTTTCGAAAATCTCAATTTTTCGATTCGTTGGAATTTTTTGACCGTTTTTTGAGCACCTTTGGAAAATTATATAAAGAGATTGTTTTGTGTATTTCGATTTGTAGAAGTGATTTTCGGCTTAATTTTGATTTTTCAATTTTTCGATTTTTTAAATATTCGATTTTCGACTTTTCCTTTTAACGATTTTTCTATTTTTATTGGGATTTTTCAATTTTTCGATTTAATTTTTCTTCCATTTTACAGTTTCGCGATACTTCAGTTTTGTGATTTTTTAATTTCTCTATTTTTTACTTTTTCAGTTTTTCGGTTTTTAAATCTTAGATTTTTCAATTTTTCAATGTTTTAATTTTTCAGTTTTTCAAATTTTTGATTTTTTTAATTCTCGATTTTTCAATTTTTCAGTTCTTCGGTGTTCTATTTTCCAAATTTTGGAATTTTCAATTTTTTAGTGTTTTGATGTTCCGATTTCTTAGTATCTCGTTTTTTCGACTTATCAGTTTAGATGCTTCAGTTTTTCGATTTTTAAAATTTTTGATTTTTCGATTTTTATATTTTTGGGTTTTCCAGTTTATCCATTTCTCAATTTATCGAGATTTCGATGTTTCAATTTTTGTTTGTTTAATTTTTGGCCTTTTCATTTTTTTTTTAATTATAATTTTTCAATTTTTAAACTTTTCAATTTTTCGATTTTGGCATTTTCGGATTTCTCAATTTTTCAGCGTTTCCAATTGTTCGATTTTTAAAGTGTTAGATTTTCCATTTGTCGTTTTTTTATTTTTCGATCTTTCAATTTTTCGATTTTTCAATTTTTCAATTTTTCGGTCTTTCAATTTTTCGATTTTGAAAGTTCAGATTTTTGAATTTTTCAATTTTTCGTTTTCTTCATGTTTCGATTTCTCGATTTATCTACATTTGGTTGTTTTGATTTTTTTATTGTTCAATTTCTGGATTTTTCCATTTTATTTTTTTTTTATTTTAAATTTTTCATTTTTAATTTTTCAATTTTTTGGTTTTGGCGTATTTGGACTTTTCAATTTCTCGATTAATCGATTTTTTGTTTTTCCCTTTTCTGAGATTTTTTAATTTTTGATTTTGCAGGTTTTTGGTTGAATTTTTTGACCATTTTTTGAGCACCTTTGGAAAATTATCTAAGACATCGTTTTGTGAATTTCGATTTGTAGAACTGATTTTCGGCTTCATTGCATGGAAAATTTCAATAATATAAATCACCACAGACGACAGACAATAGACAGACAGACGAAAACGGGAGGCCTATTGTTTCACACTCTAGGGGCAAGAAGATTCCAGAAAACATGAAAGTGGGCATTCCCTATCACAATACATCCTTAGTTTTTAGACTCTGGAAGCAAAAATCGCCACAAGAGGGCAGGGGTGGGTGGGCGGGCCTAATTATTCCTTGTTTTACTGGATTCTACTGGCAGCCAACAATAATTCAGTTCTTATTGTTGAACATAAATAATCAGATATTAAAAATTAGGAGGTGCAGCTAATTTTAACTTTTTTTTGCCTTAAATTCGGAAAAACCGACAAAAAATACAAGTAAACAAATTTTTTCAAGAAAATGGGGTTCATTTTGACAAATGACCTACTCTTCTAAGAAAAAGTACTAGCACCGCC